GCTACTTCTGGCAGCTACACCATAGTTTCACAGTACAGCTTTCTCTTTCAGACTTATGTACTGGCTTAATAATTCTTGGTCACTAGGAAGCTCTCCATGGACACTTATTTTGTCTAAGCTCCAAGAAAAGGGCTCAAGGCATCCTGGTAATTGCAAGTCTTGACTTGACCCCGTGACACTAAGAGTAAAATGACAGTCTCCAGGGCAGAGCAGGTTTATATCATTCCAAATAAAGTTTTAAGCAACTCTTGCTGAAATAAAGTTCTTCCCTTGTTTCTTGGTAAACAAATCCGTCTCCTGAAGGTGGGGAGGGGAGAAAGATCTGAATCCAAAATGTGATGCAAAATGAAACAGGTACATGGGAACAATTGGAAACCGTAAATTATCTGTTGGATTTGTCCTTCCCAGGCAAGGATTTTTGTTTTGCTGTGAAGAACAATATCTTGGTTATATCTCCTGGGCATACTACACTGACAGCATGACCTGTAATCAGCTGTTTCGAAAGCTACATAAGATTGTATCTGACATAAGAGTGTGAACATTGGTAAATCTAGTGCAGAATCCCTAGCTTTCCCACACAAGCTTGGGTGCAGCTATACTGTAGAATAAATCCAAATGAAGTTAAAAAAGCACAGTTAAAGCCCTGGGAGACTATGCAAAAAGAATCTGTGAACCTCACCTCCTCCAAGATGAACTGAACAACCTAAATTGGGCTTTGCAGGCCAATGGATACTCCACCACAGACATCAGAAGAGCTGCAAGACCGAGAACAAGCCATGACAGTAAAAACAAAGATCTACCCAGAGGAAAAGTGTTCTTGCCATACATCAAGGGAACCACTGACCACATAGGGAAGCTGATGAAGAAACACAACCTACAAACTATCTACAGAGCCACTAAGAAAATCCAACAAATGCTACGTTTAGCAAAGGACAAGAAGGATCCTCTCACTTCTGCAGGAGTCTTCCGTATACCATGCAGCTGTGGACAAGTCTACATAGTGACCACCAAATGCAGCATTGCTCAAATAGGAATCAAGGAACATGAAAGGCACTGTAGGGAAGTCAGCCATAGCAGAGCACTTGGTGAACCAACCTGGACACAGCATATTATTTGAGGACTCAGAAATGCTGGACCACTCTAACAACTACCATGTCAGACTACACAGAGAAGCCATTGAAATCCACAAGCATATGGACAATTTCAAAAGAAAGGAGGAAATCATGAAAATGAACAAAATTTGGTTAACAGTATTCAAAACCTTGAAAATCGGGAAAGTAAATAAAGAGCAACACTCAAAATGCAGGGGAGTTCCAGGCAAGAATCAGGGCCAGCTTAACACCTCGCAACAAAGGATTCCCCAGGCAGGAACCAGCCAGAGTTTGAAGCTGCAAGGCCATTAAATGCTTATCAAAGTGCCAATTTGCAACATTCGCACTTAACTCAAGCAGACAAGAGTTCTTTCGCCCACCCTGGATATTCCACAGATATATAAAATTCACTTGCTTAGGTTCCAGCAGACCCTCAACCTCTGAGGATGCCTGCCATAGATGTGGGTGAAACGTCAGGAGAGAACGCTTCTGGCACATGGCCATACGGCCAGAAAAACTCACAGCAGTGATTCTGGCCATGAAAGCATTCGACAACACAGTGCAAATTTGACACCACTTTAACTGCATTGGCTCAATGTCATGGGATCATGGAAATTGTACTTTTGCAAGGCTTTTAAGCCTTCTCTACCAGAGTGTTCTGGGGCCTCACCAAACTTTAGCTCCCAGGATTCCATAGCATTGAATCATGGCAATTAAAATGTGGTCAAACTGCATTCATTCTACACTCATGGAAGGATTAATTCAAGCATTTGTCAAAATTCTTGGTGCTATCAGCAAGCCATCCTTTTAAAGCAAGGATGCCTCTAAATATTATTAATATTATTATTGCTACTGCTGCCACCATTATTTTTATTGTTGCTGTTGTTATTATTAGTTTGGTCAGGAGGAATTCAATTCCCTTGGTATAATCAGAGGTGAGAGAAAACCAAACCAAACAAAACAAAAAGGTTGGGATCCACTGATCTAAACCAAGAGTGAAGGAACCCTCACAAATATTTTGTGCATCCCTCTCAGTATAATTTTAATTTTAATTTTTAAATGTATTGTTAATCAATTTATTTAATTTATATCTCGCCTTCCAAAAGGGATGATGCTTTGCTTCCAAAATTTAATAGCAATCCATCAAATGCACCACATTGAGAATTAAATGCACCTTATTCAATGGGAAGTCAGTACCATAATTAATTTAGTTTTTTTATATTCCTGGATCAGTACATTATACTAGTGCTTCTCAGGCTGTATGTTGGGGCAAACTATCTTTTGAAACAAAGTACCAAAAACCAGCACCATATCTGTGTTTCTTTCTTTCCTGGACTGGCAGCAGATCGCTGTGGTCAGTCACTCATCCATGAACCACAACTCTGAGAAACATTGGTTTATAGGAAAGTCAGCATCATATTACAATCAATTTAATGATACGTATTTCACATTCATTTACATATAAGGGTATATTTCAAAATAATTGCTCAGCTGTGAGATGATAAAGCAGTGAAAGATTTCAACGACATTCTAGAGAAGTGCGTGCAAGAAATGAACTTTTTAGTCATTCCTGCAAACGGGAAAGATTTTAGTGAAATCTGCACAGGCAGGATGTTTTCATATAATTCTTGGACACTGGAAGACTGGATTTTCCCGCTTGTGGTACTGACAGTAGGCAGCTGGTTGCTATGAATACACACTTTTTTCTCTCTTGCCAACCACATCTGACATAGAGACATTTAGCAGGAATGTTGTTTTTTCCTTTTTGTTTTAAAAGGGCTGATCAACACTTATGTCCAATGTGGTCACACTGAACATAACACATATCATTGAATCATAGAATCATAGAGTTGAAAGAGACTTCGTGGGCCATCCAGTCCAACTTTGTTATTGGTTGTTTGGTTTTGATGTTCGTTTTATATTCTGTTTAATGTTGTTGCTTTATTTTGTTATATTGCTTTTGTTGATATGCATTTTACTGTATTATGTTTTAACTGTTCTGTTGGAGCCCCCGGTGGCGCAGTGGGTTAAACCCTTGTGCTGGCAGGACTGAAGACCGACAGGTCGCAGGTTCGAATACGGGGAAAGTGTGGATGAGCTCCCTCTATCAGCTCCAGCTCCTCATGCGCAGACATGAGAGAAGCCTCCCATAAAGATGATAAAACATCAAATCATCCGGGCATCCCCTGGGCAACATCCTTGCAGATAGCCAATTCTCTCACACCAGAAGCAACTTGCAGTTTCTCAAGTTGCTCCTGACACAACAAAAAAAAAAACCTGTTCTGTTGGGCTTGGCCCCATGTAAGCTGCCCTGCTGTGTCCTTTCGGGGAGATGGAGGCAGGGTATAAAAATAAAGTTGTTGTTGTTATTATAATAATAATAATAATTATTATTGTATTGTCGAAGGCTTTCATGGCCAGAATCACTGGGTTGTTGTAGGTTTTTTCGGGATATATGGCCATGGTCTAGAGGTGAAACGCCAGGAGAGAATGCCTCTAGACCATGGCCATATAGCCTGAAAAAACCTACAACAACCCATTATTATTATTATTATTATTATTATTATTATTATTATTATTATTATTATCCCCTGTGAGGTCACAACCTCTGAGGATGCCTGCCATAGATGCAGGTAAAACATCAGGAGAGAATGCTTCTAGAACATGGCCATATAGCCTGAAAAACCTACAACAACCCACTATTTTGTTAATTTATTTAAAAATGCATCCAAGGGGTGTTTCTCACAAACACAGTCTCAAAGGAACAGCTGATACCATGTGCACACCTGTTGAGGAACTGTGCCTTTTCCAGGCTCCTTTCTGGAATGACATAGATACTTGGAAACAAAGAAATAATATTGCTTTGAAAGAAATAATCCTAGTTATTCACTACATTTATATCACCTCCCCTCCAATCAATTCAAAGCAGCATAAATGGTTCCTTCCCCACTTTATCTAAGCTAAGAAAGTTAATGACTGGTTCAAGGTCACTTAGGGGGCATCTATACAGGCCACAAACAGTGATACTGATCTGAAGCAGGGAACTCTATATCCGCATTGCAATGGTCCACACAGCTAGCTGTTGAGCTCGCTCAATGGCTAGATGGTGTCTGCATAGCTAGCAGCAACAAAAATTGTTCAGTGCTACTGGATTGCCATCCTTATCTTTCCCCCATTATTTTCAGCTTTGTACCCCCCCCCCCCTCCCGGCATGAAAATGGCGGTGGCCACCACATCACACTTGTAATGACGATAGCCACAGTGATTAAATGACATGTGGAGGGACGCAAGAGGGAAGGAGGAATCACTCCCACCTTTCCCCTCTTGCTTTTCCAATTGGTTTGCTGCTCTGGCTACTGTCACTCTAGGTGCCAGGTGACAAACACAATGGGAAAGACGAAGCCAAAAATGATTGGGCAATGTAGGTGCCATCCTCTATTCCTGCGCTGCCCAAGTCCAGGAGATGTGGGATGGTGAAGTAAATAGCTGCAGTTGCTTTGCAAATAGGAAGTGGCAAACTCCAGGGTTTGGGGAAAGCTTCGGAGCATCATTTTCTTAATGTGGAATACTGAATGGACCTGTGCATCGAATGGATGCCATGGAATCTATTCACCCCAGGCCAGCTCATATGGACTGTGTAAATGGGTACTTAGGATGTTGTATGGATCTACTTGGATCTTCAAGTCTCAGCCAGTTCTATAACCCAGCAGTGAGTAACACATAGATATGCAGATTGCTACCCCTCCCCCCAATTTGCCAAATATAATATTTTTTTATAAGTTAAGCTCCCAGGAACAGCAATTAATTATCTTTTTATGTGTATAAACCGCCTTGAGTCCTTTCAGGGAGAGAGGGTAGTCTAGAAATAAAGTATTATTATTATTATTATTATTATTATTATTATTATTATTATTATTGTGGGTGTGAGTTGGGAAGTCCAGGGAGCCTGGAAGGGTTGAAGGTCATAAAGCAGTACTGAATCATTACATTTTGTATATTCCTGCTCTAAAACCTAGGCCACACTGGCTTTTAGTATTGACCAAAGGTGAACAATATCACATTTGCTTCACAGAGGTTTCTTTGCTAGTTCAGGTAGAATACCCATTATCCAAACTATTTCGGGACCAGAAATGTTTTGGATGTTGGAATACTTTTATACTGGCCTTTGGGCCCATAACTCACATTACTGGGCATTCACTAAGTTTCTAACGATAGGACTTCATTTTGTGTAGTGGCCAGGTTAGCAGGGATTTCTGAAAGAAGTTTCCCCAAAACTCCAAGTTCTGTTTAGTCCACAAAACTATGCCACATTTCCCAAGAAAACTATTCACAAAACACAGACAAAACCACGTTTTCAAGTACAGTTAAACATCCAAAAAAGGCCCCTCCCCATGTAATTTCCCACTTAGACTGGTGTGTTTCCATCTACAATCCAGCTATATCATCCTCTAACCAAGCTATAACCATTTCTGCCATCTCTTTGGGTGTTTCAAGGACAAAAGCATGTCGGAATCCTTTTTCGCACAATCGGATGTCTCCATCTGGAAACTCCATCTTCATCTCTTCATAGTACTGCACAGGGCACCATGGATCTGTCGCTCCATAATAAAACGTCAGCTAAAAAATATACATAAAAATGTCTCAGAATGAAAATTAGGGGAAAAGACAAAATAAATCCAATTGTCAGAAGAAAATAAACAACAACAACAACAATAACAACAACAAAAGCTTTGCTCTAGATTGAACACATTTGGACCCATGAGATTCCTCCTATTTCACTTCTGACTGCATGACAGAAATAACCATGGCCTATATCACAGTTAGAGCATTTTACACATTAAAAGAACTACAGATAATAAGCAGTAATGATGTTCAAATTTTTTAATACTAAGATGATATGTTGCTTAATGATGATAGAGTGCATTCAGGGGTAAAAGATCTTGAGTAAAAAGGAAGAGCATCACCCCCTTAATAAAAATAATGGTTTTATCATAGGAATTCCAGTCTAAAATAGATAGTAACTTGGGGGTGTTGCTCTAATCTAGCTCTGTTCTAGAGAAGAGCAGATAGGGGACTGGCGGGAAGAGAAGAGGTAGAGAAACCATTCTGAGGATAACTTTACATCACAGAGGGGGCAGCTTTGGGAGATAATTGGGGAGGGGCACTTTGTATCCCCCATTTAGTATTGTGAGACATTCTTGAGTCTTCAGTGCTAAGGAGCCCCCGGTGGCACAGTGGGTTAAACCCCTGTGCCGGCAGGACTGAAGACGGACAGGTCGGAGGTTCGAATCCAGGGAGAGGCGGATGAGCTCCCTCTATCAACTCCAGCTCCTCATGTGGGGACATGAGACAAGCCTCCCACAAGGATGATAAAAACATCAAATCATCCAGGCATCCCCTGGGCAACATCCTTGCAGACAGCCAATTCTCTCACACCAGAAGCGACTTGCAGTTTCTCAAGTCGCTCCTGACACGATAGGAGGAGGAGTGCTAAGCTTTGCAGCATTTCCAACAAATGAAAAGTCCCAGTCTAGTAATAACCCATCAATTTGGCTCGTGTTTGCTTTCATTAGGTCAACAACCTTGACTCCCAGGACTAGGTATAAATGAAATTGTCTTCACCATCACCATTATCAGATCTGAATTGCAAGATAGTAATAAATGCATATTCCTCTCCATTAGGATTGCCAGCTCAAGATTGCCAATTCAGACAGCACTTGGTGGCATGCCATGTAAATACATAGAACCTTTCATAATCTTTTCAAGTTTCAAATTATTAATTACTGGAAACTGTAGAAAGTTGATGTTTTATACACTTTATTTATATCCTGCCCTTCTCTCTTAGGGGACTCAGAATGGATTACAGCATTTATATACATAGGCAAACATTCAATGCCTTTACAATCAGATACAATGAGACACACAAACACAAACAAAGGCAGAGGCTTATCCTTTCATTTCCAGCTTCTGGAGGTGGAGCTTTTCTCCATTTTCAAGCTGAGGAGCCTGCATTGCCACCTCCAGATTGTGTGGCCAGTAAGATTGCTTGAAGTGTCTCTTGCCTTTTCCCGCCAAAGCAGTATCTAGTTATCTACTAACATTTGCATGTTTTTGAACTGCTAGGTTGGCAGGAACTGGAGCTGACAGATGGGAGCTCATCCCGTCTTGCGGATTTGAACCACCAACCTTCAGTTCAGCAGCATAGGGATTTAACTTATTGCGCCACCACAATGAGCTTGAGATTTGCACTCAGCCCTTTCTTTTTGTTCAATAGAATTTGCCCTCTTATATCCTGCCTGGAAATAGCACATGAAAACTGGAGACTCAGGGCCAGATGTTGAAATCTGACAACACAAGTTTCTAGAGCATGCACAACAAATAGGAGTTCCTCCAGATATCTTTATTTAATTGAACTTCCAGCCTCTATTCAGAGGAATCGCATACCTTCATGAATATCTCTCTTGCTGGATTGGGACAGAAGACTGTATTCTTAAGCATAATAATAATAATAATAATAATCATCATCATCATCATCCCTTTGAGATAAAGGAGATTCCTGTTTTCGGGGAAAGATGTTTGGGGCTGATATGTAACACTAAGAGATTTCAGTGCTTCTAGTTTAGAGGCTTAATGTTGGGTACGGCATTTGGAAGGGGAGGCAGGTGACCAATTCCTCTTCTGATTCTGACAGAAGTAGTCCCTGAGTCAAAACTACCAAAGCTGGTGTAATTTTTGTAGGGAAATATATCCCTCTTAACGTGTTATTATGTCAATTGCAAAGGCCCCTACACCTACTTCTCTTTTTAAAAATGTCTATAACTGTAAGTCATATAACCTAATAGCAAATATGGTGGAGACCCAAAATTGATAAGAACATCAGCCCTGGCATTGTCTTACTCAACTGCTATGTCTGCCCCGTCTGGCATAAATCTGCCCATGCGAAGCAGGTGAATATAGCACTGAAAGAGACATGTAGAATAATCACAGGATGTCTTAAACCTACACCTGTTGATAGACTCTATAAGCTAGCTGGCATTTCCCTCCTCTCTTGATGTGTGATGGGAAGTTGCTGCCAATTGTGAGAGAAAGAAGACTAAAGACAGTGAAAGCCACCCACTGTATCGCTATCAGCCTTTTCCCAATAGACTTAAATCAAGGAAATCCTCTTAATGTTCCACCAGCAACAGCAAGAATATCCCTGTGGGCAGCGAAACCAGCCAATTCCAACTGGATGGTTCCGCACAAGGGTCTTCCTCCAGTGGCAAACCAAGAATGGGGAAATCGGAAGTCCCTGAACAGACTCAGAAGTGGAGTGGGCAGATCAAAAGATAACCTGGCAAAATGACACTACCTAGAAGAATCCTCCACCTTGTGCAACTGTGGTGCCGAACAAACAACTCAGCATCTGTATGCTTGCCCACAATGCCCTGCCTCATGCACAGAGGAAGAACTGTTTAAAGCTACAGACAATGCAGTCGCTGTTGCCTGTTTTTGGTCTAAAACTATTTAGTTGCCTGTGATCCCTTTATTTTATCAGTTTTAAACGTATTTTTATGCAGTGCTTTTAACAGAAGATAAATAAAAAAATAAATATAACCTTTATATAGAAAAAGATTTATTTTGTTGGAAATTCTCTCTCTAGGGCTGGAGTGGGAAAACTGGCTATCCAGAAACTTTTGGACTACATTCAATCATTCTTCACAGGGGTTACTTAAACAAATACAACTTCTCCGCATACCTCGGTACTCTGAATTGTGAGATGAGAAAACAGTAATAATTTACTTCTGACCTAAATGTATTTTATTGAGATATGATATCATCGGTGATAAATGAAATAAATGAATCAAAGCAAAATCTTCAAGGTATGTACTATGTTAGCCCACAACTCTAGTTCTATGGATATGTATTTAATTCATGAGATTGCATGATTCAAGTGGGAAAAACCAGAAATATTCATAGTTTGTACAATAGCTCATAATTCAGTGCCACTGATATCAAATAAAACGTAATTTTTAATCATAGGTATTTCTATGTACTTTCTGCTGAACCCAATTTCAAGTATTTCGCGCTTGGTAGTGAACCTATAATCAAACACACTTCCCATAAAATATGGGCTGAGGAATCATACACACATTCTAACAGAAGCTGTGAAAACACTAGAAGAATTTGAGATTGCTATCAACAGGATGTTTACATTTAAAGGGTTTCTAGGAAAATAATGAAGATTTCCGACAGTTCATTCAATTGGCATTAGAATGATGATAGCTTAGAGAAATGTAAGTAGGATTTTTATTTCTTCTCTTTGTTGGTGTGTGCCTTAAATCCAAGATCACAAGAAAAACCAATGGCTTAAATGCTAAACATCAAATTCTCAGTGCATTTGGTTGAGATGCGATACTTTATAGGAAGGTGGGCAACTACGGAGGAAGTAGAGGCCATTTTTCTCTCTGTGTCCCTTCTGTATCTTATTATTGTGTCTTGGCATGTCCGGAGAGATATTACATAACTTTCATTTCGGCCAATTTGCATTTTTTCAATGTTTTCTTTTGAGGAGAAGAAAGGAAACAGTTGCATTTGTTGTGACTGGGCTTGTTACTGGGTAAAAAATCACCTCCAAACAAGGATACCTCCTCCTTCATTTCTACACACTTTAAAAACAGTTTAAAGACAGAGCCCATCATGCTGCATAACTACTTCCGGCCGTTCCCTGTGGGACTCTATCCTAAAATGTGTTTAACGTGTGTAGAAACTGAGGTTTTAGGAGTCAGAGAGCAATTATCTTCAAAGCTCTCAATTCCTGCAGAAACAGGTAAATACGCTTATTTATATGTGGAATGGGAACAGTTGGAGTCCTCCATGTGAGATTGTATTTATGATGTTTAAGAGGAGGTATTCCTGTGGGTGGTCTCRAAATGAGCCTCAACACTCTTTTTCTCACMCGTAATACTYTTGTATGAAACYTTTACTGTAATTTTWAAAAATAWTTTATTTTYCAGAAATTGCGCAATTTTGATACATCATCACCACTTAGCTTTCRCTATATTTGCCTCTTTTCAAAGACTTAGATTTTGGACTTCCACAATTGTAAAGTTCYCCCTTTAAAAAAAAARGAAAAAAAAGAAAAAAGAAAGCGGTATTGTGAGACTACACCTGCCGATGCAATAGTTTCAAATGTGGAGGATTACAGTATAAACAGGCAAAAGTACATCGCATTCAGTTTGGGTAAATATATATTTTCCTTATAAATGGAATGGAATTGAATGAAATGCTATGGTAAGAAGATGATTCCCCCCCCCCCCCCGTGTTTCCTTCACCCCATGGGATGACGTCCTAAGTCTGGAAATGCTCTATAGTTTCATGAATAGGTCTGGACATCAGATTGAATGTGATCAGCAGGACTGGCTATAATCTGAACAACTCCATTGTCCAGACGGGCTGGCACTACTATCCCCCCTTCCCTGTGCTTAGCAGAACAGGAAAATGGGGATAGGTTGGGCCTATGTCATCCTCTTGTTGTCATGGCAGATGGCCTCGGGATTTCAGAGAGCTCCTGGCCATTGCTGAAGATGGTCCTGGCTGAATTGGCACCTTTGCTGATATCAGCAAAGGCCCCTCAC